CTTTGCAAGCTGTTAAGAATAAGGACAGTTGAAAGCTTAGCAAAATATACATCCTTTATATAATCTCTCCTACAGCTCAACGTACATGGCAGAGGGGAGAACGCCAAGAATATAAGAGCTGGAAGACATAAAGAAGGGCTGTGAAAACCATCTCTGGGGCATGACACAACTATGGCAAACATAAATCAGCATTGGTGGCTGCCTGTGTTGTGTTTGGCCTACACAAAGCTCTACCCCTTCCTGATAAAATGTTAGTTGATGGATTCCTGGGGATTGACAGGCATTGTCTTCAGTTGTGTGCCCAACAGTGCACCTACTAGGTTCCAATGGCTTGATCCAAACCTATGGTCAGATGGTTTTGTTTAAAATCAATGGGCCAAAAAACATACAAAAAGACATGAATGTGGGGAAAGGAACTGTAGGAAGGAAGGGATCAATCATGACAGGGTTGGGAAGGAGATTTTAAAAGGGTGGGGGTTAAAATAAATAGAATGCTATGAAACAATTTTTTTTTAAATGGACTTGATTAAAGAACTGTCAGTTCCCCTACTCTTTAGGAGATTCCTACTCTGAAGAACTCTTCAATCACATGAACTCCAATTCCTACCTCATCCTAGCCATTCCTTCTTAAACACAACTGACTGCCAAAGAGGTATTTAGTGCAGTCTGTTTAATAAACAGTTCTGTTTGATCAGCAACAGGTAGTACTGAAGGTCACTGGAGGAGGATTTAGCAAGTAACAATCTTTTGCATTGCTTCAAAATATAGGAATGTTTCTGTACTTAATACCTGAACATTTTGTTTACATGCTAATGTGGCTACTTGGTTATTAACATGGACATTGCACTTGAGGGAAACCATAATTTGATGAAAGATCCCTACACTTAGGTGCAATGAGGTTCAGGTTTCTCCCTGGCTGAGAATCACTGTGACCTGAGTAAAACTTTTAACTATTATTAGCTGTTTAACTAATTATAATATGACAGGATTGGAGCAAGTAGAATTTAGAATTCAAAATACTATGGCTCTTCCTTCCTTTCTTTCTTTCTTTTTTTTTCTTTTTTGGCAGATTTTTAACATTTAAAATAAAAACAATCTTATTTTACATATCAATCCCAGTTCCCTCTCCCTCCCATACTCCCATGTCGGAACCTTTGATAATTTACCCAACCATTATTACCTCTGACACTATTAACTTGCCTTGTTGAACAAGAATTGTAGAAGATGGTAATGCACAATGAGTGCACAAGCTGAAAATACAACCCCCAATCTATAAAAACAAACAAAAATACAGAGATGCCAAGAGTAAAAGACTTAGATTATTAGGCATTTTACAGAACACTTTAAAGTATACTTCAACGCTATGTGAAGTGTGCTATAATGAAGTAAATGCCTATTTAGGGCTGAGAGCCATGGAGATGAGCTTAATTAATTATGCTTTGAACTGTTGTGTATGAATGTTCACACAGTATACTTACTCATGCATAGGTTGACAGTTGGTGTCTTCTTTTATTGTATCGCATCTTATTTCTTAAGACAAGGTCTCTCACTGAATTTAAAGCTTGTAGTTTCAACTAGGCTGGCTGGCCAGGGAGTGTCCAGAATCCACTTTCTTTGGCTTCACCTAGACACTAGCTGTCATGTTTGACTTTATACATGAATGCTGGGGATCAGAACTCCAGCCCTCATACTTGGGCAGTAACCATATACCCACTGTGCTAGCTTCCCATGCCCTAGCTAGGTTTCTGTGTATTTATACATTAGGCATATATAAATCTTCATGCACCTTACAGAACCACAATTAAATACTAGAAATTAAAATTTAAATGATAATCTGTTTATGCTGCTATTATTTGATATTAACACTGAAACCAAATTTCAGAGATGAGATTTTCTGCTAAGCTCCAATTATGGCTTGGAGAATGAAGTAAATGTCTAGAAAGAAAACAAATACAGAATCCCACTAGGAAGGCTTGAAATAGCTAAGGTAAAGATGGTATCGTAAGAAGACATATTTATGAATTTTTTACACTTTTTTATTTTTATTTATTGAGTGATTCTAGTTTTAAAACAAGTAAGAACGTTTGGTCTTGTGTCTATAAAACCATTGCAACAATTTATAAAAAGTAACTAGGCAGTATTTAATTACAGACAAGTAAAAACATTTTGTTTTTTCTGTGTATGTTTATGATGTATGATATGTGTGAGGGCAAGTGTGTGTGGCATATGTATGGAAGGCAGAGAGAAACTTCAGGTGTCAGTCCTTGTCTCCTTTGTTGTTTCCATTGTGTATATCAGGCCATCTGGCCCCAGAGCTGCCTCCATCTTCCAGCTCACTGTAGGAACACTGGAACTACAGATTCACTCTTCTGTGTCTAGCTTTAAGTGGATTCTGGGATTCAAACTCTGGCTTGTGTAGCAAGTGCTTTACCTGCTGAGTCATCTCCCCAGCCCCAGTATAAAATTGTCCCTGTTTATTGAAAATAGATTCTTGTCTCGTACATCCACTCCTCCCAGCTCCTCCCCATCCCCCTTCCCTTCCAGATCCATTCTCTTTCTGTATCTCATTAGAAAACAGGCTTGTAAGAGATAACAACAAATGACAAAATAAATTATAATAAGACAAAACAAAAACCATGACATTGAAGTTGGACAAGGCAACCAAACAGAAGGAAAAGAGCCCCAAGAGCAGGCAAAAGAATGAGAAATCCACTCATTCACATGCTCAAAAATGGCATAGAAATACTAAACTGAAATCTACAATATAGGCACAGAGGAACTGTAACTGTGCATTCATATGAGCCTTGCTCAGTTGATTCAGAGAGCCATGTTCTCCTGGTGTCCTCTATACCCCTCTGGCTCTTATATTCCTTCTGCCTCATTTTCCTTAAGGTTCTCTGAGCTTGTAGGGAAGGGATTTGATAGAGACATCACATTTAGAACTGTGTGTTCCAGTTGGGTGCATACCTTTAATCCTAGCACTCAGGAGGTAGAATTGAGTTCAAGGCCAGCCTGATCTACAAAGAGAGTTCTAGGACAGCCAGGACTGTTACACAAAGAAATCCTGTCTCAAAAAATAAAATAAAGAAAAATAGAGCAATGTGTTCCAAGGTCTCTGTCTTGTCTGTCTCTGCCTAGTGTCTGGCTGTGGGTCTCTATATTTGCTCCCATCTGCTGCAGGAGGAAGCTTCTCTGATGATGCCTGAGCCAGGCACTGGTCTATGAGTATAGCAGAACATCATTAGGAGTCATTTTTGATACTTTTTTTTTTAAAAAAAGATGAATAGTATTTACTGTTACCCTGGGTCTCTGGGATACCTAGTCTCTGCTTCTTGGTCACCTAAGCAGTATTGGCTATGGGTCCCATCTCCTGAAGTGGGCCTTAAGTCAAATCAGACATTGGTTGGCTACTCTCAGGAGCTTTGTGCCTCCATTGCCCTAGCACATTGTGCAAGCAGAACAGCATTGTAGATCAAAGGATTTGTGGCTGGGTTGGAGTGTTCATTTTTCTTTTGGTAGCCTGCAGAATACCTTCCCATACTGAAGACACTAGAGTACAGGGATGGAGGCTCTATGTAGGCACCAGCTTGACCTCTCCATGTTCGGAGTTGTATAGGTATTGTCTTAAGCAATGGGGCCTTGCTGTTTGTGGGGAGAAACCTATAGTCTTAGCAAAAGCCTGGGTTATTTGGGAATTTCCATAAGACCCCTTTGGCCAATAGCTCAATTGGATGTAACCCAGTCTTTGTATTGGAAGCTTCATTTGGTGACAAGAGATAGCCAGTTGGGATTCCATCTCCCCCATTATCTGGAGACTTCATTAGGATCACCTTCATATATTTTAGAAAGTTTCCACTACACTAGGTTTCCATATCACCCTTAAAGTATAATTGTCTCTTCCCACAGACCCTCCCCCTCTGATCCTTTCAGTTCTCCACAAACACCCCAAGTCTACCCATAACAGCTATCTCTCCCATTTAGGGAGATGCACGTGTTCCTTCTAGTCCCTTCCTCTACACCTAACCAGTTTATGGATTGTAGCTTAGTTACTATTTACTTAATGGCTAATATCCACATTTAAGTGAATTCATACCATGTTTGTCTTTCTGGGTCTGGGTTACCTCATTTAGGGTAATCTTTTCCGATTCCATCCTTTTGTCTGCAAATTTCATGATGCCATTTTTTAAACAGCTGAGTAATACTCTATTGTGTAAATGTATCACATATTCTTTATCCATTCTTCTGTTGAGGAACATCTAGGTTGTTTCCAATTTCTGGTTATTATGAATAAATAGAACAGAAACAAACATGGATGAACAAGTGTCTTTGTAGTAGGATGCAGAATCCTTTGGGAATATGGTCAAGAGTAGGATAGTTGGGTACTGAGGTAGATGGATTCCCATCTTTCTGAGGAACCACCATATTGATTTCCTTAGTGGCTGTACAAGTTTGCACTCCCACTAGCATGGATCAATGTTCATCTTATTCCACATCCTCACCAGCATGAGCTATCAACTTTGTTACTGATCTTAGCCATTCTGACAGGTATAAGATGGAATCTCAAAGTAGTTTTGATTTGCATTTCCCTGGTGGCTAAGGATATTGAACATTTAACTATTTCTCAGCCATTGAATTTCCTCTATCATGAATTCTGTTTAGTATCTGTACCCTCATTTTTAAATTGGGTTATTTGGTTTTTAATACCTAGTTTATTGAGCTCTTTATATATGTTTTGGAAATTTGTCCTCTATTAGATGTAGATGTAGAGTTGGTTAAAAAAAAAAAAAAAACTTTTCCCATTCTGTAGGCTGCCTCTTTGTCTGAATGATGATGCCCTTTGCCTTACAGAGTTTTCCAGTATCTTGAAGTTCCATTTATTAATGGTTGATGTTAGTGCCTGTGCTAATGGTGTTGTATTCAGAAAGTCTTCTCCTATGCCAACGTGCACAAGGTTATTCATCACTTCCTATCAGGTTCATTATAACATTTTCAAAGAAAACTTCCAATCACTTTGTTTTATTCCATTATTTAATCATGATTTTAATAGCTGAAGGGGTATCTTCTCTATTAAATAGCAAAACATAGCTGCAAAGGTACAGTTCACTTTAAAAACATTAGAAACTCCACACAAATTTGATAGTACTAGGTACTTTGTTACATAAAATTTAACAAAAAGGTCTCCCCACATTATGGCATTTTCACAGAAGACATATTGAGAAATTCTTTTGTGGGAAAAGGAAGAGATAATAGCTGCAGCTGTATCCAGACTAAATTTACTACAGTGGACTGATCCCAACTTTATATTCTCTCTTACTAACAGATTATGGAACAAGAAACATAATTAACATAACTACACACTCTTCAGAAAGTCTCATTTGAAGATTTCAGAGCCTGTAATAATGCTCCATCTGAGGGAACCAGGACTTTAATCCCATTTAGATGTTTTTCTCCTCATGTAATGATGCCCTTCACTATCAATAGCTTCATAGAGGTCCTTTTTGTTCTCTTGTGTTGCATGCAGATAACCAATATAAGCCACACAAAGTGAAAGGGCTATCAATCCAAAAGCCATTACAGGTTTGTTCTGTCAAAGAAAGAAAATTATAAAGTGCCAGTGAGATTAATAATTTCAGGAGAGGCAAATATCATACTGCACTTCCCTCTTGGCATGACAAGTCATTAATACCACCCCAGCATTCTAATGAGTGACAGTTAACTTTATTCCTTATTCAATCAGCTTAACAGTTGATATGAGCCTCTTGCTTCTCATCTCCAGTCTTCTCTTTGTAGCCTGGGAAGCTTGGACCTCTGCCCTAGGAAGGTGAAAGTTGAGCAAAGAGGAAATTCATGGACACTGTTCTGGAGCTTTCCCTTCTCTGAGCTGCAATTTAATTGCAATTTAATTTAGTTTATTAGAAGGTGAGACATATAGAACACATGCTATTTCTCCTGCCCAACACAGGGATAACTGTCACAAAATCCTCCAAAACTTACATTATATACAACAATAAAATATGCTCTTCTTTAAGAACCTATTCTACTCAAGAAATTTAGCAATTGAAACAGATACTATGCTGTTTTAATTACCCTGGGGTATTCCTGGGAAACCTAAGACTCTAAAAATCAAACTGATAAAGCCTTGAATTAGGGGGCAGAAAGTTTCCAGAGAAGTACTTCTTATTCTTTGCAATCCATGTAAATATATTAACCAGACATACCCACCTTTGTACATGTTTATACTTAATAAATTGGCTTTCCCTTCAATAGTGAACATGTACAGAGTAATACAAAGAGTAGTTTCTGATGCTGCCTTCATGTCTACCATGGTAATTTCCCCATGCCTGTTGTAGGACATTTGTATACTGTGTGATTTTATGTTTTTGTGATTGGTTTAATAATAACTTAATGGCCAATAGCTAGGCAGGAGGTATAGGTCGAACTTCTGGAGAGAGAGAGAGAGAGAAGTTGGAGGAGATATTCAAGGTGGAGAAGAGACATCAAGGAGACATGGCAGGAGTCAGACATACAGAATGAAACGTAAAATGCCACCTGGTAAAATGTAGATTAATAAAAGCTGGTTAATTTAAGTTATAAGATCTGGTTAGGACAAGCCCAAGTTAAGGCCAAACTTTCATAATTAATAATAAGTCTTCCTCTGGTTATTTGGGAGCTGGCTGGTGGGACAGAGAAAGGCTCATTACACATGCCCATAGAGGGTACATTCCAAGAACCTCAATGAACACCTAAAACCAGACATCGCACCAGACCAACAGTATATACTATGCACAATTAGCAACAATAACACAACAATTCAATTAACATTATAAATAATCATATTATTTTCCTCTTTAGTCAAAACAAATATTATTATTTGGGGGATGTGGTTGAAAGAGAATCTGGAAAAAGAAACATATAAGGGGAAATTACTGTTCTGTCATGTTTTCAAAGCTAACTCTCAAAGTGTCAAATTTTTTCATCTGAATAAATATCTAAGAAAGGCTATAAAATCAGAGCAGTTTAAATTTGCAATTATGAAATGTCTTCAACTATTAAAATTACATGGAAGCCAAGGATTTTAAAATACTTTAATGGCTTGATTAAGTTGACCCATTTAAACCTTAAAACAATTAACAATGGCAACTATTATTAAAATTCTAATCAAGTACAAAATATCTCAATATTTATCATATTTAAAATTTTCATTTCTTATTTTGTAAGTGAATTTATATGCAAAAATAAATTCACCAAATGAAATATATTCACTAGTTTACAACGCCAACAGTATACAAATGCATATTTTAGAGTTTTCTACATGAAACAGCATTTAAAACTTGCTTTTTTACTTTCTAAGACAGAGGCTCAGACTGTAGCCCCAGATTGGCCTCAAACCCTGCTTATTCTCTAGCCCTTCTCTCCCAAGGGCTGGGGTTACAGGTGTGAGTCACCATTGCCACCTTAGGGGGTCATCTTAGCATAAAATGTCCTTGACACAAGCCAATGTTATAGGCTGGATGGTGATGGTGCATGCCTTTAATCCCAGCACTCGAGAGGCAGGCAGATCTCTGTGAGTTCCAAGACAGCCTACAAAGCAACAGAGAAACTCTGTCTTGAAAACAAAAACAAAACAAAACAAACAAAAAAAAAAAAACACCAAGCCAATGCTATGGAAAAGTGAGCAAGTCTCCTGGACATGTTTCTTACAGGTTTAATGAAGAGCTCTGGATTCACAGCCCGAAATAAGGTTGTTGTATGTGTCCCTCGGAGGCCTGGACTTTCAAAGTTCCTCTCTTTTGGTGGTTCCTTCTTAACTGCTGGAGGCTCAGGTGCTGAAGACATCTTGACTACTGAAGAGTATCACCTAAAAACAACATGTATTTTTCCTTCCTATTGATTTTAAGTTAAACCTCTCTTTATTTGAGACAAAGTGTTGCTATGAAGCCCTGGCTGGCCTAGAACCTGCCTACCTCTGACTTGAAAGTAGTGGGACTAAAGGTGTGCTCCATCAGGTTGAGCCCAAAGCTCTTAAAACAAACAAACAAACAAACAAACAACATACTCTTTTTAAATTCTAGCTGTGCTCCAAGAGTGATCAAAGGTTGATTTTTAAATGGTGCTTTAAGTTTTGCTGGGTAAAATAACCCTTCTCATTTGTTTTCATTCCTTCTCCTTCTCCCTTCTCCTCTCCTCTCCTTCCTTTCTCAGGTAAACAAATTGAGTGAAGTTTAGAAAATGGTTTATTGGTCTGAGTGACACTGTACCATGGCCAAGGCAGAAGAGAACAAAGGAGAACAGACTTCCCTCTGTATTTCTGCCATGTTTTACTTTCCCTCACAACTAGCCCTTCCAAAGCAGCCTGGGAGAAGTACTACCACTCCTTTTTCAGTATCTCCTCTAACAGCTTCAGCCCAGGCCATGTGCCTTCATCCTCTAGGACCCTGAAGACCTCCCCTGTCCAAACAGAAAAATAAGCAGCAACTTTCCCATGCGGACAGGATGTTTGCTCCTTAAGCTAAACACCCTTTTCTCTACCCTGTTAAGTTCAAATGTGCCTTTTTGTTTTTTGATTCTTTTACTCAGGGTACCAATGTTTTTTTCTTTCAGGTTTCATTCCTACCACATAATTCAGAAAAGCAGGGAAAGACATGCCCCCACAGACTTGTTAATGACAACATAAGGGAAAGATGGCAACCTCATGACCAGTGAATGTTATGAAGAGTTAACATTCACACTTACGCACCGGTGCTTTGCACAAGTCATTAAGGCTTCTGTGTCGCAGAAAGGAAAGCAGAATTTTAGCAACTTTACAATTATGGAGAAAACTAGGTGTTCCTTCCTTTTACTGAAGTGACCCCTAAACATTCACCTTCAGCATTTAACTGGTTAATTACTTTGTCAGGAACACCAGCTTAGAAGGAAAATTTCCCATCTTCTACACTTGCCAAGGAAAGGTTGTCCCCTCACTTGTTCTCCATGTATGTCATGGTTATTATTGTCATGTCTTTCCCCCTCACTGCTGAATTTCTGGTTCCATTTCAGACCAGTGCAGGACTCGCTAACTCTTGAGAGTTAAATTGCTCCCAGTAACCAAAGTCTCTAGACCCTAACTTATGATGCCAGCTACTTAAATACGTCATTGACTGTAGTGTTCATCTAGATGTTGCATGAAGCTCTTACAGGACCATGCCTGCTTTCTATCATACAGGCCACTTTATAGACAGCTGGCTCTCAGCAACCATGTGAGTGCATTGCTGCATGTAAAAGCTGTTTTTTCCTCCCCTAAAGGATTTTCCTGTAAGTAGTTTCAAAAGCAAACTTCCATTGTGTGAATGAAACTTTGATCTGAAGCCTGCTATGAAAAAAAAAATAACAATAAGAGGGTGCTAGCTTTAACCCCAACACTCAGGAGGCCTGGGGATGGGGGGAGAGGAGGGAAAGGAAAAGGAAAGAGTGTTTTGGAAAAATACTGTGTTTTCAAATATAGTCTAGAAAGAATTGCTTCAAATGCCCAAAACAATCTAATGACAGTGTAAAAACATTTGTTTAGCTCCACTTACTACACTGTTTTGGAGTAGGACACCTTAAAACACTTTAAATTGCCTCGCAGTGGTGGTGTGTGCCTTTAAAACTAACTCTCAACACTCAGGAGGTAGAGGACTGGTTTACAGAGTGAGTTCCAGGACATGCAGAGCTGCACAGAGAACCCCTGTCTCAAGAACCAATAATGACAATGATAATAATAATAAGGAGAAAGTTTAAGAAATAATCAGAGGATTTAATGGCTTGAGGAAATCAAGCATAGACTTATCCTCAATTTTGGTACTTTTCTAAAAAAGGATTGGTACTATTGATTGAAATATTATAGATGTGGACATAACATTTTTTATAGGAAAAATGTTTTCAAAATAGTGGTCATCCTACAAATCTAGTCTAACCCTTCCTAGCCCCGTTTGTTTCTCACTGGGGGGGTGGGGGGGTGGGGTAAGATAACCCAGTTCTTCCAGTTTCAGCCAACTCCTAATCCATCACCACACCATCTTTCTCCAAGACCCATAAGATTTGTGATCACAAAAAAAAAAAATCCCTTTTTACTATAAAATATAACTTTAAAAAGAAAAACAAAGCAACAGAAAACCCTTTCATCTCGTGATTTCCCCCACGTGCGGATTAAGGAAAGGTTTGGTCACTATGTCAGGCAATCTGTAGGCTGCAAGCTTTGCAGACCCTGGTCGGGATGTCTAAGCTCCTATGGCGGCCTCGGGTCAGTCTGGTTGGTCCCTCAAGGCTGTAATCCACCGGCAGTTCGTGGTGCGTAGCTAAAAACCAGGTGCATTCGAAGCTTCCAGGAGTAACTACGGTCAATTAAGTCTGAATCATCTGCTGTCAGCAACCTACCGTAGCATCGCATGCAACCACGCACACGCCTGCGAGAGCCCGCAGAGCCTGACCTTGGGCACTCGGGAACACAGCGAGGATCCGGCGCGGACGCCTATGCCAACGCAGGGAGCTGTGCTCCAACACTCCGCACTTCTGTGCTGTCACCTGTACCCGCAGCGCTCTCCTTCCGGCCCTGCACTCCAAGGAGCGCTCGCTCCGCTGCCATCCGCAGGGAAAGGCCGCACCACAGCGCCACCTATGCCACGGAGGCCGCAGAGCAGGACCCGGGCCGACCCAGGCATCTCTAAGAGCCCTGGCCCTTGAATCCCAGTTGCAGGATGGAATTTGCTTTCTTGGGACCTTTGACTTTCAGCCTCTGACATTCAAATAAGCTTTCGTTTCATGTGTCTTGTATATATTTATAGGAAAAGATATCTAGAAATACGCATTTAGTGTACGTGGAAAGTGTATGGTTTAATGAGAGCATCAGATTACTAGAGCTGCTGAAGACAAAAGGCAAAAACTGGCTTGTGTTTCCAAGAGAAGGGAAGGTAGCACCACTCAAAAGTAGTCTGGGGTTTTATAGGGTGCTTTTAGTTTGGCGGAGATGTGGAGATGTGGTGAGATTGAGGTAAGATGCAAGGAACTGGACCTGTTTCAAGCTGTACTACTGAGCTATAGTAATCAAAACCATATAGTATTGACATAAAACAAACACATTGATCAATGAACTTGAATTGAAGAGCCAGACATAAATCCACACATCTATGGATACCCAATTTTTAATGAAGAAGCCAGGAAAACACAATGAAAAAAGTCAGCATCTTCAACAAATGGTGCTGGTCGAACTGGATTTCTGCATGTAGAAGAGTGCAGATAGATCCATACTTATCACCCTGCACAAAACTTAAGTCCAAATGGATCAAAGACCTAAGCATAAAACCAGATAAACTGAGCCTGATAGAAGAGAAAGTAGGGAAAACTTCTTGGACAGGACACCAATAGCACAGGCACTAAATGAGACCCCATAAAAATGAAAAGCTTCTATAAGACAAAGAACACCATCAATAGGATAAATCAGAAGCCTACAAAATGGGGAAAGTTTTTCACCAACTCCATATCCAACAGAGGGCTAATATCCAAAATATATAAAGAACTCAAAAAACCAGACATCAACAAACCAAATAATCCAATTTAAATATTGGGTACAGAGAACAGAGAATTCTCAACAGAGGAATCTCAGATAGCTGAGAAACATTTAAGAAATGTTCAACATCCTTAGCCATCAGGGAAATGCAAATCAAAACTACTTTGAGATTCTATCTTACACCTGTCAGAATGGCTAAGGTTTAAAAAAAAAAACCTCAAGTGATTGTTTATGCTACCAAGGATGTGGAAGCAAGAGGAACACTCCTCCATTGATGGTGGGCAAACTTGTATAGCCACTATGGAAATCAATATTGCAGTTTCTCAGACACTGGGAAATGATCCATCTAAAGACCCAGCTATGCCACTCTTGGGCATTTACCCAAAGGATGTTCAATCATACCAAAAGGACACTTGCTCAACTATGTTCATAGCAGCTTTATTCTTAATAGACAGAAACTGGAAAAAATCTAGGTATTCTTCAACCAAATAATGGATGAAGAAAATGTGGTTCTTTTACACAGAGGAACATATTCAACTTTAAAAAAAAAAGACATCATGAAATTTGCAAGCAAATAGATGGAACTAGAAAAAAAAATCATCCTGAGTGAGATAACCTAGATCCAGAAAAACAAACATGGTATGATGTCACTTATAAGTAGATATTTGCTGTTATGTAAGGGGTAATCATGCTACAATCCACAGACTCAGACAGTCAAAGAAACAGGAGGGATCAAAGGGGATACATGGATCTTCCTGGGAAGGGGACATAAAATAGATTTTGTCAGTGGACTGAAGGTGGGTAAGAGCAGGAGGGATCAGGAGGAGGGGTGATGGAGACGAGAGTACTGTGAAGGATGACTGGAATTGGGGAGCATTTGGGGGACAATGTGGAACTTAGTGTAGTGGAATCTCTATGGAATCTATCAGGGTGACCCTCACAAGAACTCCTAGTAATGGAGGATACAAAACCTGAACTAGCCATCTTCTGTAACCAGACAAAGCCTCGGTGGTGGGATTGGGACACCAACCCAGACATGAAACCTTCCACCTATGCCAGGGACCACCCCAGCTGGATATGGGGGTCCCTGAGATGAGGGTTCTCAAAGACTAGGTGGGTAAGGATTTGGTAGTGATGAACAGAAACAAACGCAGAGGCAGTTTGAATCTGTGTATTTTGCAGCTTTCAAGCAAGGCTTTTTATCCAGGATAAAGAATATTTTCTCAGAGACTGTATTCAACGAAGCAAATCCAGACAGAACAAATGACATCATCATTATTAGGTACAGTAACATACAACATATTCAAGGCTAACATTATATCAGAAAATCATTCAAG